GGAACAGAGGTGTTTGAATACACTATCCATTATCTGAAGAAGACGTTGCACAATCGTCGGGCGATGCATACGAGAAAAGACGATGTGCATGACTATCTTTACAGATGCTATGGATTCATCCTAGCATTGCAGATTTGGTTTTTTGAGATTTGTGACGCATCTGACAATCTGATTTGCTCACGTATAGTTGGTGAAGATATGCCACGTATGTTGAAGTGGGAGGTGAAGGGATGCTACAACAGATTGTTCATCGACAGACATTTCATGAACTTGTCACATGACAAGGTATGTTTACAATTTTTATTACTAATTTTCATTTTTTTATTATAATAGCATACTGTAAGGACTATTTCTGATTCTTTTGATAATCATTAACTTTTCAGTTCAACAACTTGAGCCCGACAGATTTTGAGAAATCCAATCTTCAGTTAGATGGATTCTCCAAGAAAAAAAATCAATTTCTCGTAGACGACGAGTCGTCATCTAATGGTCCAACGCACATCCAATCAGAGATACTTAACCGATTGGATGAGATGGGACAAAAACAGACAGAAATGGCCAACGAGCTTGAAATGATAAAGAATCTGTTTATGGAGTTTTCAACCAAGAGTGCTAATGACTTTGCCATGCTCAAAGAAATGATATTGGTTCGTTTATGTTGTTTAAGAAAAAAATTATTAACTTTAATGAAAATTTATAATTTTTCCATATTTATTCATATATTTAATTGATTTTTTTTTTTTCTGCATAAATATTTTTTAAAAAGGGTGGAAATCTTGGAGCACAATCACATCACCAGTTTGCAGCCGATGTTCCGAACGATGCCACAGGCCGTGCCACAAACCTTGATGTTGATACAGGTCATCCCGAGGTAAAAGTTTATTTTAACACTCATTGCTATCTGTCATACCAGATTGTTTTGTTTGACAGAGATAATATAATTTGTTTTTTTACAAATTTTGTGCTTTAAATAAATTCAGGAAGGTGATGTTGATGCCAATGTTGGACAAGATACTGACGTTGGAAATGATCCAAAAGGAGTATGTAATCTCAACTATCATTCTTATAAATATTTTTTGTTTACCTATTGTATATATATTTCTACATGTATTATATGATAACATGTACTGTTTATACAATGTATATATGCTAGATATATACCGTTTATATAACGTATATAGCTATAACTGAACATGTAGTATTTAAATATCCGTGTATATACATATATTTTTTATAATATTTATATACAATATATATATATATATTTAATATTATATCTGAACATGTTCATTGTTATGTCATTTTATCATTTTTGTTTATACACTTTTTATGTAGTGTATATATACAGTAAATATGAATTATTTGTTCAATTTCATCGATTA